ATTTCACAACCACTACAATGGATAAAAACTGTCAGGGTCAAGTTTTCCAAAAGCATCGCAGCGCAAAGGTCATCAATAAACGGTAGCATTACAGTGAACACTCTCTCTCGCCCCCAGTTAAGATGACTTTGTGAAGTGTCAAATCAAAATCTGAATTGTGGTTTGTAGCCTGAGTTACAGGTGCAGTGGAAGTTAGCACCATTCCTGTTAGAAGTGATAAAAGGGAAAGCAAATGTGCTGCCAAGAGCTACAAGGCAGTTATCTACAAGTGCAGATAAAAATGGTGCAAAGTACAATTCAGCAGTATAAAATAATAAAGGAAGAATACCAATATTGTGCAACACAACTTTGAGTAATATTATAAGTTAAGGCATTGCAGAGCTAAATGATACAGTAAGTGCACAGTACATACAATTCAAGGATAAAAATACACTGAACAGGAGAGAAACCAAATATCACACAACATGCAACCATATTTAACAGATACATACTAAGGCATAAAGCAACAGGGAACATACAGAGCATGTGAGTGTATTAGAATCACAGTCGGTAGCTTGTTCCACCATCAAGAAAAGTATTTGGATGGAGACTTCAAGTAATGGCAACCCCAGACATCATTCATTTGCAGACAGTAGTGGACAGGATGGGGCATAGGGTCGAATTGTGGGTGCTATTCCAGTGACATCCCTGAAGACAAGCATGAATGTTTTGTGTGTTCGTGTGCTGCATGAAATAAGATCATGGTATATTTTAGGAGTCTGCCAGCCAGCTGTGTTCATGTGAGGTTGAGGCATCTGACACATTCCTCCCCTCTGCGAGTAGCCATCTTATCTGGTGACTGTGGTTAAGCTTCTTGGAGGCACCTTATTAAAGCATAGTTTGCTAGTACAGACCACGTTTTCAACTAAATGGCTTGAAGAGTGATTGTGGAACTAATGGGAGGGAGAACTCTGAGAACTTGGGCTGGAGTTCTGCCTGGCTTCTGCTGTGAGCTAGACAGGCAGGCCCCCTGAAGAGTCTTGGTTAGGAATTGTTGAATAGTAGGGAAGAAACGCAGAGGTGGTGGGTGCAGACCGTACATCACAAGAATAAAAAGAGAGAGATGGGAATTTATAGGAAGTGAACTGGGAGGAAGGTGAAGTTTCCAACATGGTCTTTTCACAAACTGCAGTTATTTCATAACTCATTCATTTTGAAGAGTGGTATGTGTAAAAACTGTAATATTGTGTGTGTGTGTGTGTGTGTTGGGGGGGTTAGGGGGACACGACTCTGAGAACTTGGGCTGGAGTTCTTGGCAGCTTCTGCTTTACGCTAGCCAGATCCCCAAAGAACTCCAAAGTAAATAATTATATTGCATTCTGTATTGTGCAAGTCTTTTTCCAAGGTCTTGTATCTTGGTCAAAATGTAGCTGTATTGTGTCTAGGACAGTGGTCTGGGAGCCCCCAGAGGTCCATGAGGCATAGTCAGGGTTCCATTTTTTTTCTATTTTGTTACAGTGGTGGAAATTCCAAACATTATCAAAGATGTTATATTTATTATTGTTTTCATCTAGTTATTGGCCTGTTTGATTGATCACTTGAAATGAATGGGTTTGGATTACCCCAGAAACACGTAGGCTTATAAATAATGTTGACTTGGACCTAATGCACTCTGTTATATTTTCAGAATAAAAAAGTATATGATTTTGATAAATAGGCAGTAAATATTTAATTAATGAACCTAATATTTGTATAATTAAATTATGTTCATAACATAAATTTGAAATGAGGAAGTCCATGAAATTTATTTTACAGTTAAAGTTCCTGGCTGCAAAAAGTTTGAGAACTCCTGGTCTCCTGGAAGTGTGATCTGGAAGTCCTTATAGCAGGTATGAAGAGCTCCAATAAGGAAGTTAATCACAACCAGACAGACTCATCAAGGGAAAGGGTGAAAGCCAGGACTCGAGTGGTAACATAGGAAGTGCATTAGGGTCAAAATGCGGGCTGTCCTTATTGACAATGTGAGTGCTTGATCAATTATCAGTGTATTAGGAATTTTTAGAACTCAATTTTCCTTGCTTAGCATATTCTCAGTGTAAAGCATGTTTAGCAAAGGAAAGTAAACTAGATAAAAGACAAAAAAATGACACTGGCATCAGACTGGTTGGAGAAAATAATGCATTTTTAAGAAAATTCATTGTTTTTCATTTGTTTTCATTCGTTTGTTCATGAGGAGTTTTTTTAATCAAACAATGATTCAGAGTACAAATCTACTAAAGATCTTTTTTTTTTACAAGATGGATCCCCTGACAAATGAACTTCCTTCACTGACAGTGAGTTAAACCTCCAGTCATGACTTGGAAGTGATGTTTGGTTTTTAGTACTGCCACATCACAAACTCTTGAGCAATAATAATCCTGTAAAACTCAACCTACTTAAAAGTCCAAATCTCACTTTCTCTGCTGGTAAACTCAGATGTGATATTAAAAGATGTTTTTTTTTCTTAATCATCCTAGTCTAAAATTTTACATAGAATGGCAAACTCAAAGAAGAGTTATCCAACCACTTAAAGCCATGACTGAGTTATTTCCTACTCAGTGCCACTATTACTACTGCATCCATATATAATTTCACTCGCTAGTCTGTTTTTTTCCTTGGGATTTGGAACAGTGGTGCAGTACAGTAACAGACCATTTCTGCCCAGTGAATTGAGCTGCGATTGAAGACATTTCAAGATAAACTCAGCAAAGCTCTGGTTTAGGCATAATTACCACCTGACAGTCCAATGAGGAATGATGCTGAACGAAGACTTTTACAAGACTTCATATTTTTGTGGAACTTGTAGGAAATGATGATTGCACAGCTGAAGTCATATCATTTCCCAAGTAGCCTGACGAAATCAGTGTCTTTTCACTCTGTGGTCAGCATGATTATACACTGCATCATTGCTTATGGTATCAGTTCCTGTCTGGAATCTGCTGCTGACTGAACCGTATATGTGGAATGATTCACAGTTCCTTTTGTGCACTTTGTCTGGACAAAATAGTTAGTTCTGAAAAGAGAATTGCCTCTTGATTTAAGTAACAGGCTGAAGTAGATATTGTATAGCTGATATAGTCACAATTCTGAATAATATTCCATGGTACAGCATTTAAGAATGACCTCAGAATAGGCATGCACATAAGGTTACAGATGCTGAAAAAAAGTGTGTTTTACACTACACATCTATGAGATCCTGCATGTGTCAGTGTGACTATAATTGTGGTGAAGAGACTTTCTTATTGCTCCATGATTCCCACAGGTTGCTGCCATGTGGCTTTGGGTTTTCATTCCTAATGAGGGATCCTGCACAAGCTTTGCCTGAATGTAATTGGAAGCAGCTGGCTGTTGATCTGATGTCTGAGTCTACCTCATGCCACACTAAAGCTCTGTCAGCTCAGTGATGTGGGGCTTGATATGAGTTTGAGCCAAAATGCCATTTAAGCATTAAACACTTAAATTGTTGGGCAGTGCGATAAATAGTACCCTGGAACACATTTTAAAATGAAAGTTATAGAAAAATATTAAACAGCTGGATAATCTGCAATTGGCCTAAAAGACTAAAATAGATTATAGGAAAACTACTGAATGCACATAAAGATTATTATATGCTGAGAAGTACTTTAAATCTGGTAAATTTTGAATAGTGTCCAGCACAGAAAATAAACAATACAATAAACAGCAAATGGAACTTGTTTTGTATTTGAAAATAGAAGAATCCTACAATTTCATTGAGTACATTGGTAGACTGAGAATCAGACAAAGGCAAAAGTTAAACAAACCATAAATTATATATATATAATTATATATATGTCTGGAACATGCAAAACTGTGATACACTGGTTACACTGTGAATAATGCCACATGCCACTGACAGAGAAAAATGAAAGAGTGTCTAAATCTCTCCCTCTCTCACTCTGTGTTGTCTTTATGACCCTCACATGCATGTGTTTGAACATTTCATTTGTGTCACATCACATCTTCACTGAATGATTGATCTCTATAGCAGGCTGTGGCTGGGCAATAAATGTAATCCCATCCATACAGTGATTTAATCAACCTGGATGTCAGGCCAAGTTTGTAATATCTACAGTATACTGAACAAGTTAATTTGTATTAATTTGTATATTTGTTAATTTGTTGCAACAAGATATAAAAATAAAGATAGCACAACTGCAGCATTTTTGCAGGTAGCTGATTAATTTCACTAAACCGACAAAGAAAAATTTTTCTCATATCCTGCCAATGCTGCATTATTTATCTTTAATTTTTAAATTAGAAATAAATTTTATTATTTAATAAATAAATGCTAGTAAATTATATTGAGCATCATCTAATTTCATAAACACATAGACACTTATATTGTAAGAATTTTATAAATTGATAATCAGGGGTGGAAAATACTTACTGTTATATAATACTTGATACTTCATTAAAACTTTTATTCTGTTACCATACGTAACATATGTGAAATATGTATAATATTTACATATTTATATACATATTTATATTTATATAATACATATTTAGACTTTAAGTAAGTATTATTAAAATTGAATATTTGTACTTTTTAATTACTCCTTACTCCTTTTACTACTTACATTTTTATTTAGACCTTTAAATCAGTACTCATTCCAAATCTTCTGTTCTTCTCCCATCCAGCCAAAGACTGTACACTATATATCAATCATATGGGCTCAGTTTATCATCCACTCATTTCAGTTCCGCATCCAATGTACGTAGGTCATCAAAAAATCTAGAATTGTGCCAATTCTAGGTCACGACTTTCTCACGCTACACAATATAGTTAACACTTTAAATCTGTGTGCGTTTGAAGATGGCTAAGCCACTGGACTGCAGTGTCGAAGGTGAGGATGAGAACACTGTCCCTCAGTAGATACTGTAACATAATTGGCTAGGCAACAAGTTAAATTTTGGCTAATGGTAAATATTGTTTATTTACATCAGAAGCATATTTTGGGTCCCTGGAAGACTAGTGGTTAGGCTACTGTGCTCTCACCTGTGCTGCCCGAGTTCGATTCCTGGCCAGGGAACCAACCCCAACCACTGGGGTTGCACAAGACAGTGCACTCCCAGTGCCAGTCCCAAGCCAGGATAAAAATTGGGGAGGGTTGCGTCAGGAAGGGCATCCGGCATAAAAAATGTGCCAGATCAAATATGTGGACCAGTGATCTGCTGTGGCAACACCTAACAGGAGCAGCCGAAAGAACAACAACAACAACAGAAGCATATTTTACTTATGAAATTTTATTTCTCCCAAAAATGATTGAAGGATTTTTTTAATATTCATAACTACTAATGGCGCCCTAATAAAGTTGACAGCAATGACGGCAAACAGGAAGTGAGCCTGTATTTCAGCAATGCATTCTTGTATCAACACCAAGGTAGGGCAATTTAAAACCACACCCTAAAGGTCAACAAAAAGAGCTGTGTTATTCCACAACTATGTGACATTATAATTAATCAAAAGTGCTGTGTTATTCCACAACTATGTGGCATTATAATTAACAGATTAACTAAAATGCTCATGTAAACATGTAAAATGACAACATCAATCATACAAATCATCATCACAGAACCAAACGTAAAGGATCAGGTCATAACCTTCATATTGCCACAGTCCATTGCATAATGCTTGGACCCTTTACTTACCAGGTTCAGCTATATTTTAAGCTTAATGTTAAACTGAAGGGACAGTGTCAATGATGTGAAACATCACTCTTACACAGCTCCTTGGCGCTTTTCTTCCCAGAGCTGATCTCCACAACCTAGCTGAAGTACAGGTCTGGATTGAATACTGAATACTGAAACGAATACTTTTAGATTAGACAATTAAAGTCTATGTTTGTTCAGTAATTCAGGTTGGTCTGCCTGAGATGTTAAAACAGTTAGCAGATGTTAGCAGTTATTTATCAGCGCTGATATGCCAAGTTAAATCCCTGTGTACTGTGCATTTGGTGGATAAAGTGATTTTATAAAGTAAAAGTAAAGAATATTATAAAGTTTGTGGACACCTGCTTTTGAACATCCCATTCCAGATTTAGTCCCTCTTTGCTGCTATAATAATGTTATAATAATGTAAAAGCTTTCCACTAGATTTTACACTAGACACTAGAGTGTGGCTGTGGGGATTTGTGCCCATTCAGCCACAAGAGCATTAGTGAGGTCAGGCACTGATGTCGGGTAAGGAGGACTGGGGTGCAGTTGGTGTTACAGTTAATTCAAAAGGTGTTCAGTGGGGTTGAGGTAGGCACACTGTGCAGGCCAGCTGAGTTAACATTTGGCCATATAGTAGTGTATATGTTGCATATTGTCCAGGCCTAGGACAAAATCTAGTTTTTGACCAATACAGTATTTTGTTCAAATAGACCATATCCAACCCTGCAAATGCTGATGACCTGCACACTGGCTCATCCAGATTCATCAATCTGCATCTCATTTATGAAACTGTCATACAATATGTATGAGCAAAATGAGATACCATTTGAGCGCCATTGATGAATGGGCTTCAGTGGATGCAAGCTCCCACTAATTCCTTATGCATTAGCATTAACCTGAGCACAGGATTGAACCCAGAATGCTGGAGCTGGGAGGGGGTAATGCTACCTACTGTGCCACCATGCCATCAACAGATATTGTAGCTTATACATGTCCACAATGTGGTAACCACAAGGTGGCTGCTTTGCCTCCTCAAACTGTGTCATGCAATATAAACATCATGAGGTTTATAAGGTGTGCGTAACCAGGTGGCACTGGTTACACACAAAGGAAAAGGGTACAAGGCCTGTATTTAATAAAGTCATCTCCATGCATATATGGAAGGTCTAAATCGGCCACATTTTATCAGGCTGTTTATATATAGGATACATAGTTCAAAATAAGATAGGTGGTGAATTTACTTACAAACAAAATGTGTGAATTTATACCACTTTAATAAATAAATACGCATTTCTGTTATTTATGGTTTTACTGGGACAGAACCAGAGGGACAGTGCAGCACTTTCTCAGCTCTTCTGATGATATTGGTTTTGATTATGTAACTACAAATCAAGCATTTTCCCCAAGATCGTTAAACTGTTTATCTAAAACAATTCCATGCCCTTAATGCCTGCAAGTTTGATCCCACTTGCATAGATCAGTGCTAATTTTAGGCTGGTGAATCTGTAAACTAGTTATATGAGGACATCTTCTGGAATAGCATGCCATTACAAGATACTGACTTCAAGTTAGTTCTTTTCGTGCTGACCTACAAGTTACAATTTAATAATGATCATTCAAAAGTCAACACAAGTAACATGTCTTATGTGTTATCCATGGCATGTTCAACCTTGATTTAGATCAAGTTTAAATTAAGTTACTGTGGGTGTGAAGTAAAATAAAGTCACAAGAGCTTGACTCAGAGCTCAGATTGACCTGTAAAAAGTGAAAATTTTGTATGTGTTTTTGATTGATCTAAGCAGTTATTCGATAACAAGCTTGTGAAAAAGAAAATTGTGTAAACCTTTGTACTTTTATAACACTTTAACTATAAGTCCAGACCAAAGGGGAAAATAAGACAGAAAAAGTTAAATGAGTGGCCAGATATATAAACATAGCTTCTCCTATGCAGTGGATAATACTAAATAGATGGTTGAATTGAAATGTAGCCTTAAGCCTGTAATTATTAACTGACTTAGAAGTAGGTGGTGCAGTATGCACTGTAACATTATACAGTGTCTGTAAAAAGTACATCAGTTGGAAAGACTATTCCGTGATACACCTATAGACATGGACAACACACCTAGGAAACTTCAGCTAAAGTCAGAGGTGGGACTGATGGTAGGAGTGTCCCTCATCGCAGGGTCCATGATCGGCTCAGGGATCTTCATGTCCCCGCAGACTGTACTGCGGAACATCGGGAGTCCTGGGGCTAGCTTGGTGATCTGGGCTGCTGGTGGTGTCTTATCAATGCTGGGATCACTGAGCTATGCTGAGCTGGGAACAGTGATCTGTGAATCTGGAGGCAAATACATCTACATACTGCGCACTTCTGGCAACCTGATGGCCTTTATTTTTGCCTTCACATCCCTCTTGGTTGTGAGGCCAAGCAGCATGTGTGGACTGGCTCTCAGCTTTGCGCACAATGCTGTTGCACCATTCTATTATAACTGTGATCCTCCAACCCTGGTAGTGAAGTCTGTAGCTGCTTGTGGCCTCATGCTCTTGGCCATAGTGAACTGCCTGAATGTGCGCTCTTCCATGGCTATCACCGTGATCCTCATGGCAGCTAAATTCCTTGCACTGCTGGTAATTTCCATTGGTGGTGTGGTTTTGCTTATTCAAGGAAACACTGGTAATTTTCAGAATGCGTTTGAGGGGACCAACAAAAGCATCAGTGTCATAGGAAAGACTTTCTATCAGTGTCTGTGGGCCTACGATGGCTGGAGCATTCTGAATTCAGTGACTGAAGAGCTTAAGCATCCTGAGGTAACTATCACATGCTATATAGTTGAGTGACAGAATTAAAGGAAAATCTGGTGTGTCTTTTATACTGTGGTAGATATCTTGCTGGCATGGTTTGGTTCCACTTGTCCCCTTAGAGCACAGGTGTCAAACCCAAGCCTTGTGTGAACTTGCAAAAAATCATATAAAAACATATAAATAAAATTGATAGGTGGTAGTATTACTCATTGTTTTTATCTAGTTCTGCACTTGCCACTGTGCAGTGCGTGTGGACTCACGTCTCACAGGGCTGAAACACTGGTTAAAATGGACCAGGTTAAAATTGTCTGATACAAACCAGACATGCATCTAAAATGATTCAGAAACACATCAGGTGTAGGCAGTGTTGTAGGCAGGAATTAATTGAGGGTGGGGGTGGGGGTTGGGGGGAATGAGTAAATATATATTAAGTAAAATCACTACATGATTTCTACAATTATATTGATAAGTGTGATGCACCATCAACCAATCTTAATAATGTTATTACTAACGTTGCCATAAAATAACATTATTACAGTTCACCTAATAGTTTGCCTAATACAGCTGAATAGTTTCTGAATAGTTTCAGTTGAATGTCCATTCTTTTTCCTAGAAGCATCCAATTAATTCTACTTTCATGTTATTGTTGTTTATCAATAGAATAGATAATATGTTAAAAAATGAATAGCCTTAGGTTATGACGCTCAAGGGCTCATCAGCAAAAATGCTGATGTGTCCAGAATTTGAGTTTGATACTCATGCCTTAGAGGGAAGTGTCACTGCAAATCAATACAAGTTATTCTGACTGATCACCATGATCCTATAATGAAACATTTCTATCCTGATGGCAGTGGTATCTTAGAGGAAGACAATCCCACAATCCTAGTTAATACATAGCAGTCAAATATTTCAAAATTATAAATATAACCATCTAAATGAAAGGGGGAAAGATTCTGTACACAGTGTCCTACACATTTCATTGCTTTCCCTGATTTAACTAATCATAGAATTAAGAGGCTTTTCCTGAGTCAGCTTGGGTATATTCAAGCAGGAAAACACTAAAAGCTCTGGAGCAGTGGTACTCCAGGATTAGTGTTGGAAAGTATTTCTATATGTATCTGAATTCCACTGATGAACAATAAAGAGCATTACAGACTTAACAGCATTACAGAGTAAATAAGGTACAGATTTTCCTGCACTATCTTTAACTGCTAAACATTCAACTCAACAGTAATAATTAGATTTAAGCACAGTTGAAACCATAGTTGATATAATCATCACAATTATATGGTTGATTTTATATATATATGTATATGTATATTTGAGATTGTACTAATCAAATGTAGCAGATTTCAGTAGTAATGGCTTGCTATAAAATCTGTGATGTATTGCTTATAAAAGGATATTTTTATTCATGAACATTTCATCCATAGAAACTTAAACCAGTTACACTGTGTTAATTTACACTTTTGTCATGATTATTTACATTATTTATACTCATTTTTGCATTAATGAGGTTTGGATTAAACCCTTTCAGGTGACCAGATTTATAATAACCTAGTAATGCAAGTCT